ACCTGGACCTGCCGTTGTTTCTTTAGCACTGTCGATGGACCACCTGGAGCTGCCGTGTTCCTTTAGGCGCTGTCGATGGACCACCTGGAGCTGCCGTTGTTCCTTTAGCGCTGTCGATGGACACCTAAACCTGCCGTTGTTTCTTGAGGCGTTGCCGATGGACCACCTGGACCTGCCGTTGTTTCTTGATGTTGCCGATGGACCACCTGGACCTGCCGTTGTTTCTTTAGGCGCTGCCGATGGACCACCTGGAGCTGCCGTTGTTTCTTTAGGCGCTGCCGATGGACCACCTGGAGCTGCCGTTGTTTCTTTAGGCGCTGCCGATGGACCACCTGGACCTGCCGTTGTTACTTTAGGCGTTGTCGATGGACCACCTGGACCTGCCGTTGGTTCTTGAGGTGTTGGGACTGTTGTACCATCAGTGGCTGATGTTGCTTGAGGTGCTGTGGATGGACACACATCAGCTTCAGTTGTTGCTTGAGGAAAGGATGGCTATAGCAACAAATCGTAGCACTGATCATTGATAACCTGCCAATAGTTTTTTCATCCACTGCTGAATGTGACATACTGACAAATTAAACAGAAGGAAAATACTACTGCACTAAAATAACATATTTAACAGATTTTTCTTGCATTGGGAATGCAATCTATAAGACATCATAGATGAGAGGAAGAAATTATACTGATGTATCAGTTTGAAAACGAACAATGAAAGTTTAGCCTCATCCTAAATTATTGACAATAATTGGTACAATTTTGTACAGCCTAACAAAGGGCAGATCCTGGGGGGGCTTAACCCCTGCCATATTTTATATAAAAATTGTGGAGAAAAAAAAAGACTATTCACTGTGTTTAAAGCTGAGAATAGTGGAATTTTATGTTTTACTCCTACATATAGCCCAAATAACAGATCCACTGGTTTCATTGTTATCAAAGGTTCTCCTTTAATACGTTGCAGCCTTCTAGCACCAACAGGAGGTAATGGGACAATCCAGTGTTGCATTCAATAAAGCTGAGACTATGCATTGAAAGAATTAACACACTGATCTTCTATTTTTTTATTTTTAAACCCAATATTTGGCACATATACATATTTGTACTGAGTTAAAAATCAAGATTTGTAAGACATTAAGCTCATGATCGGACTGTCTCAATCCTGTAATTCATGCCAAAACGGGTTGGAGATTAATAATTTCCAAATTCAGGTTGAATTATTGTTTGAGAAAATTGTTATCTTGATTTTAAACTATATTATATATTATAAAACAATATTATAACTTCCGGCGCTGACGTGAGTGGCCGTATGTCCAGTATATCCAGTAGCTCCTTGTAACAAATGTTTCATGGCATGTACATCTTGTACCTTCTACTGGATGCTTTGAATTTTCCTCGGGATCAATAAAGTATTTATCTATCTATCAAAGGTGTAATTTTAAAAAACACACCACCCCCCAACTTCTAATCACCTGTACAATTCCTTTTCAGAGATTTGCATCTAACAAATCTAGATTTGAAATAATTTAGCATTTAAGTTTAAATAAAATCTTAAGGGCTTACTTACCAAAACAGGCTGCAACTAGCCAAATGAGTGAGAAGAGTTTGAAGTTTGGAGCCATTGGAATAAAATTTAAGGATTAAATGTCAACACAGGGGGAAAAAAGCCAATCAGGACTGTGAGTGGATGGCTCACCACTCGCGTTAAAACCTTGGCTGTTTAGAGCTGAGGTGTCCTCATCTGGATGTTTCAATCATTAGCCACTCCTCAGAGGGCGGCACTGTGCTAAAGTACATGTCCCGGCCCAGAAAAGAAGAATGGGTTTAGTAGTCTTCCATGACATAGACGTGGTTAAATCACTTTGATTGTGTTAATTTCAGGAACTTCAGCTTTTTTATGGACATGATAAACACAGCCTCAGACAATTTCAACAAAGAACATGTCTAGAAAAAAATGAAACCATGACCAAGCTTTTTATTTAAAAATGATCTTTTGGATTTTCAGTGAAAAATCACATTCTGTTGAATAAATCCTCATGAACCCTCTACAAATTACCATGAAATATGAGTTGAGATAATGTTGACAAAATAATCATATTAAAGCTCCTGTGAGATGTTTTTAAAAAGGTTATGAAACAGACTGAAATGAATCCTGAAGCCTCTTTATGACCCAGAAAAGCAAACAAGACCATCAATGACTATTTCTTTAGTATTATTTGTAATGCCTGCAATCGCCAGATATACCAAAAGATCTGCAGCTTGAAATTATTCTTTCACATGATACATATTTAGGTCATTTTTCTCATAGCATTCAGCACTATTATTTTAATTCATGTTATTAATGCTGTTCACAGTTATTGCTAACACTCATGCAACCAGTTAGAGCAACAGTTGGACCAATTTGGATCAACTTCTGACCTCATTCTTACTCATACTTGAAAACCATAAAGGCTAAACAAAATTATATTAATATTTGGATTTATATTGGACACAGCTGATGAGAAACACAACAGGAAGCATCGGCCTCTGGCAGTAAGTAATAATTGTTAAGATTATGTAAATATGTCATGTCCTGTATCTGCAGTGTGCCTGGATCAAACCACCTTTGGAGCAAACGTCCACTCAAGTCAAGACTCTCCTCCTGAAGAGTTGGAAATGTTTATCATTGAAAAAATATGTATTACATCCAAGGTTCAGTTTCTTTTTAGAATAAAAATCTCTGATTATAATGTACATCTCTGCATTAGGCTGCATAAGTTACTGATATGGGCAATGGGGAAAAGGATGGTCAAAGATAACATTCCTCAAAGAGTTTTTGAATTTATTGCACAACCTTGAGACAACTTATCAATCAATCAATACATTTTTATTTGTATAGCGTCAACTCATAACAAGTGTTATCTCGAGACACTTAAAAAAAAGCAGGTAAAATACCTTACTCTTTGTCTGTTAACATTACAAAAGAGCAGGTAAAAAGACCTTACTCATTGTTATGCTACAAAAAGCAGGTAAAAGACCTTACTTATTGCTATGTTACAAAGATCCGGCCTATCCATCATGAGCACTTTTAGCAAAGCAGCAAAAGTTACAGTGGTAAGAAAAAACTGCCTTATTAAAAGGCAGAAATCCCCAGCTCATGACGAAACAGTTCTGGCAGGCCGTCAACCAACGATCTCGAGGAGCCTAAGAGAGCTCAAGAGCTCCCAGGAAAGTAGGTGGTTAGTGACTGAGATTTACAAATAGATACATGCAGTAATATGATGTACTGTATATGCACAGAGAGAGAGAGAGAGAGAGAGAGGAGCTCAAGGTGCCAATTCCCCCCGGTAGTCTAAGCCTATAGCAGCATAACTAAGAGCTGGTCTACACCAGCACCAGCCCTAACTAGAACTAGGAAAAGGGAGCACATTACTCCTGTGTTGGCTTCTCTGCACTGGCTCCCTATACAGTCTAGAATAGAATTCAAGATCCTTCTTCTCACTTACAAAGCTCTAACTGGCCAGGCACCATCTTATCTTAAGGAGCTACTAGTGCCGTACTGCCCCTCGAGAACATTACGGTCCCAGAATGCAGGCCTGCTAGTGGTACCTACAGTCTCTAAGTGTACTATGGGAGGTAAAGTCTTCGGTTATCAGGCTCCTCTCCTCTGGAACCGCCTTCCAGCCGGGGTCCAGGAGGCAGACACAGTCTGTATTTTTAAGAATAGACTTAAAACTTTCCTTTTTGATAAATCTTATAGTCAGTACACGAGCTGCAGCGTTCTGGACTAGTTGAAGAGTCTTTAGAGACTTACCAATAAGGTAAGGGCAGGAGGTTACTAATTTTGCCTCTGATGTCTAGAATTTTGTTGTTGAAAAAGCTCAGGAAATCATTACTGCTGAGGGCTAAAGGAATACAAGGCTCAATGGAGCCATGACTCTCTGTCAGCCTGGCTACAGTGCTGAAAAGGTATTTAGGATTGCCTTTGTTTTCCTCGATTAGAGAGGAGTAGTAGGCAGCTCGAGCGTGATGTAGAGCCTTCATATATTTTCTATGACTATCCTGCCAGAATAAACGAGATTCTACCGTTTTGGTCGAGCGCCATATTCTTTCAAAATTTCGCGACGATTGTTTTAGAGTACGGGTTTCTGAGTTGAACCATGGAGCTATTCTCTGCCGTTTGATAACCTTCTGTTTTAGGGGAGCAATCGAATCAAGAGTAACTCTTAGCGAATCCACTGCACTATCAACAAACTGATCTAGCTGAGAGGGACTAAAGCTATCATAAGAGTTTCCAACTGGGTTGAAACACGGTACTGAATCAAAAGCAGCTGAAATAGCTTCCTTAAATCTAGCTACAGCACCTTCTAGCGCTAAACTTCTAGAGAGCACATTTTTATTATGCAGAGATAATTCTGGTAGGACAAAGTTGAAAGTAATAAGGAAATGGTCTGATAGAAGAAGATTTTTTTAGGGAAACTGTAAGGTTTTGGATTTCAATGCCATAAGCTAAAACAAGATCCAGGGTGTGGTTAAAACGATGAGTAGGTTCGTTTACACCCTGGGTGTAAAGTCTAATAGAGTCTAATAGTGACAAGAAAGCTGTGCTAAGGCTATCATTATCAACATCCACATGGATATTGAAGTCACCTACAACAATTATTCTATCACTGCTAAGGACTAAATCTGATAAAAATTCTGCAAATTCAGATAGAAACTCAGAATATGGGCCAGGAGGGCGGTAAACTACAACAACTAGAACTGGCTGAAAGGTTCTTGAGACTGGATGTGAAAGACTAAGAACAAGGCTTTCAAAAGAAGAAAAATTCAGCTTTGGTCGAGGGTTAACTAGAAGACTAGAATTAAAAATAGATGCTACTCCACCACCTCGTCCGGTGTCTCGAGGTATATGAGTATTAAAATGACTGGGAGGAGTGGATTCATTTAAATTAACATATTCATCTCGACACAGCCAGGTTTCAGTCAAAAAAAGTAAATCAATATGCTGATCTGATATCAGATCATTCACTAAAAGAGATTTGGATGCTAAGGACCTAATGATCAAAAGTCTGCAATGAATTTTCTGATTTTTTAACAAAATCGTATTCATAGTTTTGATTCTAATGAGATTTTGACAATTTACGCCTTTTTTTTCTACGTTTGGATGACTTATAAAAACGGGTCTGGGCCGGGGGACAGACACAGTACCTATAGTATAACTACAGTTCGATTCAGAATTACAGCTATAGTGACTGGGAGACAGATCTAAGGGAGGCGCAGAGAATTGTGTAAGACTGCAGCTCTGCCTCCTGGTCTGAACTCTGTGTTGTTGTCAATAGTATCAAACCATTGCCACATATCTGAGACATCCTTATTAGTAGTTTCTGCTTATCTCTTTATGGCATTTAAGCCTGTGTTTGTGTAGGTCATTCCAGATGTGTTTGTTCACCACCTTATTTGCCTCTATGAAGGTTTATTCTCTGGTGGGCCCACTGCCCAACAGACCTGTAGTATTGCTTAATATGTAAATTATGTAACCTGAAACTTGTGTGAAGTAAAACTGCTTTGCTTGTTTATTGGAAGTGCTGCAAGAGTAAAGGGCATAATGAAAATTCTTTGCAGTCAGTTTTATCCTCATCCCTAAAACAAATTGTCAGACATTCAACAAGTTGAACATTTCAGATGTAACATTCAAACAACATGCTATTGTTGTTGGTTGCTGTAGTGTTACTCTGATGCAGCAGGTTAAAGGGCATTTAGTCACACATCACCTCAACTTGACTCAATGTCTCTTCTTTTCATTGGAACACTGTGAATACAAACTGTTGTTCTCAAAAGCACAGTGGTCCAAAATAGAAAACCAGTAATAATTTATGAATTAAAAAGATGTTTTTCTGTTTTTTTTTTGATGAAATGAAAGATATCAGGTTTATAGACTCTTTCATGATGTAGACTTATAAACATAAAGCGACCCTCTACTCATTCCTTTGAACCATTTTACAGTTTAAGTTAGCGCCCTCCAGTGGTAGCAACAAAGAAGACACACTTCACTCTTCAATCAAATAGACAGATTGGGGCAGGGTAACATATTTGACTAATAATAAAAAAAATACTAATACTTATAATAATGATAATGATACTAATAATACTTATAATAATAATAATAATGATATTCGTACTAATAATAATAATAATAATACATATTGAGAGACAAGTTACTCAATAATGGAGATAGTAATTTATTCAAATAATCACTTATGCTTTCACATTCATAAGACATATTTATTGATTAAATACATTAAATTGAAATATTGATGTTTGATCAATACATCCGTACATGACTATCTTATATAAGAAGTGTATAACATTACACGTAGCAGTACAATAAGCCATCAAATATTTCTTATAACTTTATTTTATTGGTGTTGAATAATACTTAAGTATTAATCAAAATGAAAATTGACACAATATATATATATCTTAGAAATACAAAAAAGAAAAACAAACATTCTTAATATAATAAACTTTTTACACAAACAGACAGATAGACAGATAGATAGATAGATAGACAGATAGATAGATAGACAGACAGACAGATAGATAATGAACACTTGAACAATATTTGATCAGACTTTAAGAAACTCGTCTCCTTCACAATAAGATGAGTTAATGAGTTACACATAATGACACAGCGTAAACATTTGACATATAAAGTGATATCTAGTAAATTCACTGACGAGCAAGATATTAACTGGACAAAATAGTTATATCTTAAATATACTGGTCCCTGAGTTTAATTCAGATTTGACTGACACCTTTGAATAGGCCTGCATTTTTCCAAATCCCAAAGGAAGATGTTCAGTAGATGTGTCATGGAAACAACTGAAATGACTGTTGGAAGCTTATAATTGATCACAGTTACATTCAAACTCTGCGAGTCATTGTGGTGAAAGGACATCTAATTCATGCTTCTGTATACATAATGCCATAATGAGGAATTAAAGAGGTTGTGTTATTTGGGATGGTTGAACAACCATTATTAATATAACCGTCTTCCATTGTCATTGGTGACGTAAGGGTTGGTGTACCCCTCCTTGGCGGAGTACGGGTTGTTCTGGAGGCGATTCTGGGCGTACGGGTTGTTCTGGGGTCGAGCCTGGGCGTAGGGGTTGTTCTGGGGTCGAGCCTGTGTGTATGGCTTCATGTCGTCAGGGTCATCATAGAGCCGCTACAATGAAAGGAGTATATTTTGTTTTGATTAGTAAAGTGCTAAACAAATATTAATCGACCAATATCCAACACAAACAGAGGCAAAATAACTTTTCACAAGTAGGCTCCTGAAAATGTCAAAATGTTCAGGAGCGGGGATTGCTTAGATGTACTATAAGGCCCAGGGCCACAGCTCTCACATGCTCCAAATTAATTTTCCTGAATTTGACCTGCTGTGTTTTCACATTGCGTAACCCCAACTTCTTGTAAAGAAAATGTACAAGAGAGCTGTTAGGGTGAAAGATTTGTTCGTTTACGTTTGCAAATGCATATCAATCCAAAAACTTTGTGACATTTTCAGGAGTTTTGTGCATTTGTGAAAAAGGCTATACTAACCGCGTTCCTCCCATTAGGGACCAGGTTTTGCCGGCTGCTGCTCGGAGTCATCTCCAGGTTGGTCCTGTGGTCCAGGCTGCTTGTTGTCATAGCCCGGGGGATTCTAGGCACCCCGGCGCTAGCATAGGCGTTGGCTGATCCATTCACCAAGGGTGCTCGGCTGTTGGCTGTGCTGTTGACCAATGGTGCTTTTGCAGAAAAGTTGCTGACATTATGCTTTGCCGTGCCTGCATCTTTCATTTTCTTGGAGCTCTTCTTGGCAGGTCTAACAAGATAAACAATAATTTTAGAATTAATAAATTGGTAAACAGATTTTAATTTAGTTAAATATTTGCTGTGTTTTAATGTGTCCAAATTAAAATGGTAAATAACGCTAGTTATAAACGCTACCCTGTCAAGGTTTAAAAGGTTAATGACTTGAATGAAGAAGAGAGAATATGACAAAAACATGACAGAGACGAAAAAGTAATGACAAATTGTTTAATGAGTAGATGGAAAACGTACCTGCATGCCAATACACCCATAACAATGCCTGAGATGAGCAGCAGTCCTCCTACAACAACAGACACGACTACCAGCGCAAGTTGCCATGCTAAAACAACACAAGACAAGGAGATCAATAACATGGCTTTGCCAGGTTCAAAACAATCTCATCCTGCTCTCTTTTAACAGCCAAATGTATCACTAATCAAGAGTTAAATGTAAATGAAAGCTGTTTTGGTAGTTATTCACTTTGTCTGGCTGGCTTCAGTGGTTTAAGGCATCAAAAGTCATTTTGTTGATCGAGTTGATCATGTCACTGATGGTCTGGTTTGCTCTTGTAATTGTAATAAAGAGACTCAATAATTACTTTTAATCTGTTAACTGTTTAAAAAAGAACCCATAAGAAGGAGATCCAAGTTTTATATGACATTCTATTTTACACATTAAATATTTGTAGTGGTCTCAAAAGAGTTTAAGAGAGTTTATTTTAAAAGTCAAAGAAGACTTGTAGATAAATGACCTTCCCTTTATTCAGGTATATTAGTGTAGAAACCATGTGACCTACATTGAAATACTGATTAGAAATATAAAACACAATTTACATGAAGTAAAAATAATTCACAGACGGAGGAAAATTGTATATTAAGGACCCGTGCAGTCCAGGATTTTCATGTTAAACATTATCGTTCTAAAGGAGCAAAAGTCTTTAACAGCAATTTAAATCTTCAGCAGGATCGTATATTGCATTTGCCAGGTTTTGCATATGAGCATGATTTTTTTTTAGGGAATGTCAGGAGAAAGTTACATTTGGAAAGCTTAAAGCTCCTATATGGAAATTATAGCTGGTGATGAAAGAAACTGAAATTAATACTGATGTCACTTTATGTGCTCCAAAAACAAACAAAACGATAAGTGACAGGGGTTATTTTTCTTATATTGTAACTTTTAATGCCTGAAACTGCTGACACAGGGTAGGTGTCAGACAGGAAAATTGACAGCACGCTGAAGAAAAAGCATTGTGTTATATTATCTACAGAAAATGTACAGAATGAGTGAGAAATTTGACTGTTAAAATAAATTAGGATGACTTTTTTGGAATAAAATAGACACTCGTGTGGACAGGACAATATCAACATAGAGATTAGACATACTGCTCTGTCCACAAGGGGCGCCAAAATCAACACAAACTGAAAGTTTCTCACAGGAACTTTAAGTTATTAAGTCCCTTATGATGAGGCATAACTGATTCACTTTAATATCATCTTGTGTTTTTTTTTCTTTCATTCATATTCAAACATACTGTACTGTATACTCACATTCATTGCAGTTTAAGCCAGAATAACCAAATGTACAACTGGAAGAAAAAGATAATTCATTTTACAATTTCACTCTCTATAAACACAGAGCATATTAACATCTCTCTTGGCTTTATCGCCTTACTATGCTTGGCATTAGACTTTTGAAAATCTTACTAGATCATTTTAACATTTTGAACAGATGCTATGACACTGAAGTACTTACTCGACACAACCACTGGTCCCAGCTTGTTGCCCACTGGGACAAGCTGCAAAAGTAGAAAAAGTGGAGATAGTTTGTAGTTTAGTCCAAGGAAGGTTGTTACATTCTGGACACACACACTCACTGACACACAGACACATTCTTTCTCTCTCTGTCTCACTTCCACTCACTAATGCCCTCCTTACCAATGCATACTCTGTCGCTGTAGCTCGTCTTAATGTAGCCGTCCTTACATGAACAGCCAAAAGATCCATTCTTGGGAGTGCAATCTGTGGTTTTCACATCACAAGGTTTTGAAGTACACAGGTCAGCCTCTTTAAATAAAGGAAAATAAGAAGATTAACATACAGTATCTAACGCAAATAAGGCATACGATACGCACACAACAAAAACGTTAATGCATTTATTAGCTCAAATAGTGATTTAAAAAACAGTAAATATCTAACAAATATAACAATGTTAAAACAATGTAAAATGCCCCCCCCTTAGCATAATTAGTTTGATAGTTGATATGGGTCAATGTTCATTTATTTCAGACTATACTGCAACAACACATCAAAACTATTCATTTGTGTCTTTCTTAAAGAAAATCTATGTCTTGCTTGAATTTTTCATAGATAACAACCAGCATCAAGCAAAAGGCCCAGACTTACTACCTGAATATGAGTAAAAAACTTACCTTTAAAATCTGCCCCATTCAGGAGAGAACCTTCAGTTGACTCTGTAATCGCCTTTTTCAATGTTTCTGTAATTGTTTTAGCTTCAATGGTAGCTGTTGGCTCAAAGATGTTTTCTACTTCAGCCAAGATACCTGGCGTCGCCCTGAACCACACTCTGACACTAATAGCGGGCCTTTATGGAAAAAAATACATGTAATGATTATCATATTCTGTAATTTTTAGGTTCTTTGGAATTAAGTGTAATGCAAGAAGTATTGTTCTGGGTGGAGAGACAGCCAGATGGTATAAAAAAAACCATCATCAGTCACTTACTTCAGTTTCAGCACTATAGATTTAGAGTAGCCAGGAGTTGACTTAAAAACATTGTCCAGCTGTGTTTTGGAAAGAAAACATAATTGTGTTCAGGCTCACTTGAATGAAATTACTTTCATAGATATTGTGCAGCAACATAGTACATTTATTACAACACAAATCAGGTTTACTACCTATGTCAGATAAGTAATGATACACAAGCACTGTTATACTGTAGTGGTTGCACTTGTAAACACACAGTGGATTAAAGAGGAGTGAAATAATTGCCAACCTCTGTAACAACGTCTTTAGACACACTCAGAAAATCTTCTGATGTGGGGTCTGCAAGGTTTGGATTGTACTCTTTTGCCAGGGTCAGTTGTCCAGGGAAAACCTTGGCTAAAACAAGAAATATAGTCGGAAGAAGTATAGTCAGATTCATTTTTGAAAGGATATACAACAACTTGGAAATACATTTGATCACTTTTTTCTTTGTTTATAGGTAGATGAGAAGAATCCACTCATGTCTGTCCTATTTATATATGGAAAGAACTAGCAGCAAGTTAGCCTAGCATTATGGTTGTAATTTTCTGACCTCTAACAGAGGCAGGCTGGTTGTTTTTCTTTTCAGTCTTAGTGCACCAGCACCAACACCAGTCTAGACTCCAATAAGGGGGTATGCTATCTTGCACTAAGCCTCAAAACCCCTTCAATTACATGAAGACATCTCACTGGAGTGTTATCACCAAAGATATTGCACTTTATTTTACCAAACTTGTAACAGTGTAAAATAAAATTGTAAACACAATAGTTAAGCACACCTAAACTATCACCGTAATTCTAAACTAGGCTAACTGTCTTCTAGCTTGGGCTTTGGAGATATACTGGAAAAATTGTGTCTAACATCTTCCTTAATAATAATTTTTGATACTGCCAAACATTTTGCATAACCATCAGTATTGAAGATATTGACTGATGTAGCACAGGTCCTCTAAAGTTGCTTCAATTTTGTACATTCTGATACCAACAGGTTCACATAAATAAGCTTCCATCAAAAGGACTGCTGGGGACATACGAAAAATCACTTCTCCTGTTTGTCCAAATATTCTAATATCCCAAAGATACATACACTTTGGTTTTGTATTAAGTGTTCTTTAAAAACTTTTGCATTGAGTAACAACCTCATAAAAGTGGTATGCAGAAAAGAAAAAACTTACCACTCTCACAAGTGTTGCTGTCATTATTGTAGACTCTACCAGGCAAACACAGGCATTCAAACATTTGATTGAAACGAGGTACACAGGTGCTACCTCCGCCGCATGGGTTTGACTCACAAGGGTCTTTGAAGGCAAAGGGGAAAAATACAGATAACAATAAGTATCTGCAGTGCTATATAAGAACATAAAATAATGACACCTTGGAAACCGAATTTTCAGTTTTTTGACTATGGAAATATACCTAGAACTGGAACTGGTTTTGTTGGAGCTGGTGTTGATGGTGGTTTTGTAGCTGGACCATCTGGTGTTACTTGAGGTGTTGCCGATGGACCACCTGGACCTGCCGTTGTTTTTTGAGGCGCTGTCGATGGACCACCTGGAGCTGCCGTTGTTACTTTAGGCGCTGTCGATGGACCACCTGGAGCTGCCGTTGTTTCTTTAGGCGCTGTCGATGGATCACCTGGAGCTGCCGTTGTTACTTTAGGCGCTGTCGATGGATCACCTGGAGCTGCCGTTGTTACTTTAGGCGCTGTCGATGGATCACCTGGAGCTGCCGTTGTTACTTTAGGCGCTGTCGATGGATCACCTGGAGCTGCCGTTGTTACTTTAGGCGCTGTCGATGGATCACCTGGAGCTGCCGTTGTTACTTTAGGCGCTGTCGATGGATCACCTGGAGCTGCCGTTGTTACTTTAGGCGCTGTCGATGGATCACCTGGAGCTGCCGTTGTTACTTTAGGCGCTGTCGATGGATCACCTGGAGCTGCCGTTGTTTTTGAGCTGTTGGGACTGTTGTACCATCAGCGGCTGATGTTGCTTGAGGTGCTGTGGATGGACACACATCAGCTTCAGTTGTTGCTTGAGGAAAGGATGGCTATAGCAACAAATTGTAGCACTGATCATTGATAACCTGCCAATAGTTTTTTCATCCACTGCTGAATGTGACATACTGACAAATTAAACAGAAGGAAAATACTATTGCACTAAAAAACATATTTAACAGATTTTTCTTGCTTTGGCAATGCAATCTATAAGACATCATAGATGAGAGGAAGAAATTATACTGATGTATCAGTTTGAAAACGAACAATGAAAGTTTAGCCTCATCCTAAATTATTGACAGAAGCCAAGGTACAATTTTGTACAGCCTAACAAAGGGCAGATCCTGGGGGGCTTAACCCCTGCCATATTTTATATAAAAATTGTGGGGAAAAAAACAGACTGTTCACTGTGTTTAAAGCTGAGAATAGTGGAATTTTATGTTTTACTCCTACATATAGCCCGAACAACAGATCCACTGGTTTATTGTTATCAAAGTTTCTCCTTAATACGTTGCAGCTTTCGAGGTAATGGGACAATCCAGTGTTGCATTCAATAAAGCTGAGACTATGCACTGAAAGAATTAACACACTGATCTTCATTTTTTTTGTTTTTTTAACCCAATAATTGGCACATATATATATATATATATTTGTACTGAGGTAAAAATCAAGATTTGGAAGACATTAAGCTCATGATCGGACTGTCTCAATCCTGTAATTCATGCCAAAACGGGTTGGAGATTAATAATTTCCAAATTCAGGTTGAATTATTGTTTGAGAAAACTGTCCAACAATTCATTAAAACTAAAACACACTTGTATGTGTACGTCCTTTTAAAGTATCCAGATTACATGATTTTTGCCCATTCATGAGCCTGAAAACAAAAAACAGGTCCCTCACCCTTCCTGTAACAGTGTCCCTGAGCTCATTTAGGACTTTAAGTAAAGCATTAACCAGACAAGAAGTGTTACGGGGAAGAGAGGGAGACTTCCCTGACTGCAACAGACTTAGAAAGAAAGGTAGGTTAGCAAAAATGGTCATAAGGTAATTTAAATTATCTGCAACAATAAGGTACTGTAGTTATTCACATTTGGTTGTGTGTGCACCAAACCAAACTGTCAGGTAAAAATGGTTGTCAGGAATTACTTGAATAATTAATTGTTTTCTTGACTTTAAAAATGTAATTTAAAAAAACACACAACTCCCCAACTTCTAATCACCTGTACAATTTCCTTTTCAGAGATTTGAAATAATTTAGCATTTAAGGTTAAATAAAATCTTAAGGGCTTACTTACCAAGACAGGCTGCAACTAGCCAAATGAGTGAGAAGAGTTTGAAGTTTGGAGCCATTGGAATAAAATTTAAGGATTAAATGTCAACACAGGGGGAAAAAAGCCAATCAGGACTGTGAGTGGATGGCTCACCACTCGCGTTAAAACCTTGGCTGTTTAGAGCTGAGGTGTCCTCATCTGGATGTTTTAATCATTAGCCACTCCTCAGAGGGCGGCACTGTGCTAAAGTACATGTCCCGGCCCAGAAAAGAAGAATGGGTTTAGTAGTCTTCCATGACATAGACGTGGTTAAATCACTTTGATTGTGTTAATTTCAGGAACTTCAGCTTTTTTATGGACATGATAAACACAGCCTCAGACAATTTCAACAAAGAACATGTCTAGAAAAAAATGAAACCATGACCAAGCTTTTTATTTAAAAATTATCTTTTGGATTTTCAGTGAAAAATCACATTCTGTTGAATAAATCCTCATGAACCCTCTACAAATTACCATGAAATATGAGTTGAGATAATGTTGACAAAATAATCATATTAAAGCTCCTGTGAGATGTTTTTAAAAAGGTTATGAAACAGACTGAAATGAATCCTGAAGCCTCTTTATGACCCAGAAAAGCAAACAAGACCATCAATGACTATTTCTTTAGTATTATTTGTAATGCCTGCAATCGCCAGATATACCAAAAGATCTGCAGCTTGAAATTATTCTTTCACATGATACATCTTCAGGTCATTTTTCTCATAGCATTCAGCACTATTATTTTAATTCATGTTATTAATGCTGTTCACAGTTATTGCTAACACTCATGCAACCAGTTAGAGCAACAGTTGGACCAATTTGGATAAATTTGACCTCATTCTTACTCATACTTGAAAACCATAAAGGCTAAACAAAATTATATTAATATTTGGATTTATATTGGACACAGCTGATGAGAAACACAATAGGAAGCATCGGCCTCTGGCAGTAAGTAATAAATGTTAAGATTATGTAAGTATGTCATGTCCTGTATCTGCGGTGTGCCTGGATCAAACCACCTTTGGAGCAAACGTCCACTCAAGTCAAGACTCTCCTCCTGAAGAGTTGGAAATGTTTATCATTGAAAAAATATGTATTACATCCAAGGTTCAGTTTCTTTTTAGAATAAAAATCTCTGATTATAATGTACATCTCCGCATTAGGCTGCATAAGTTACTGATATGGGCAATGCGGAAAAGGATGGTCAAAGATAACATTCCTCCAAGAGTTTATGAATTTATTGCACAACCTTGAGACAACTTATATACTCTGTTTTCTTTACAGGTTTTAAAAGGTCCCCACAACACCCCAGAAGAAGCTGTTTCCATGAAGTTTAATTCGATACCTAACAAAGGTGTATATATTGTCTCAGAACTTCAACAACGTCTCACTTCACCTACATTCAACAACAAATGTTATCAGGAAATGAGGGGGCCAATAAAAACCGGGTGGGACCAAGGACAGCATGACCTTTGATTCAAGACGTCATAAGATGTTAGATAAAATGACCTCAGTACAAACAGTAAAAGATATGAAAAAAAAGTTAGCCAGACTTTAACAAGTTCAAATGTGAAATATATCAAAGTCTGTTTAATACTTTCCTCACAAGAAATGTAGTCTGTAGTCATGCTTTAAAATGCTTTCCCATTTTAACAAGAATGAAGCTATCGTCCTATCAACAGCCATAAAAGGATTTTATCTCCAAGTTTCCAAGTTGACTTTGATCCTGGTCGTATATGTCTGTTTTAACACGGCTTCCCTCTTGCGACATTTAAACGTCATCATGGGCATCAGTGGAAAAATGACATAATGGTTCATAGATAAAAACAGGGTATGTTTTTTTGTATTGTAAAATAAGCACTTGTTTCCATGGTTGTTTTAATCCAATCCATTCCACTTCATTTATAAACTTTTTATACTTGAATACTTGTAATTCTGTACACATAAAAAGCAGAAATATAATATAAAAACCACCTAAAAAAACATAAAAGCACTTAAAAAAATATAAAACACATAAAACTAATAAAAGCCAGGTTCGAATCCACCCTGTGGCTCCTTTTCTGTAAGTCGTTCCCCACTCTCTCTCTCTCTCCCTGATTTCTGACTGTATCCACTGTCCTATCTCTACAAGGCACAACATTTTGGGGCCACTGCAGAAAAGGTACCCCTGGTGCTCAGTCTTTTGTTCAGGACAACAAAAAGAAGTTGATTTGCGGACCTAAAAGACCTCAAGGGGGTGTCAATGTGTAAGAGGTCAGAGATGTACAGAGATGATAACCATTTAAGGATTAAAAACTAACAATACAATTTTAAAATGAATTCTAAAATGAACAGGGAGCCAGTGGAGGGAGGTCAGGTGAGGTTGTATATGTACAGGGTACATGTAAAAAGACGAGCTGCAGCATTCTGGGCTTACTGTAATTATGAATTAAGCCTGGTTAATGCCAACATAAAGTACAATAGTCCAAACAGGCTGAGATAAAAGCATGAATCACTCACGAAATGTATTCTCAGATGGTAAAAAACTAGATTTAACCAGAGTTTAAATACTGTGGCTTTTTGGGCAATGTTGCAAATAGCCCAGATCCATAAGAGGGGCATCAGCCCCACTGGGTCCAGATATGATGACTTCAGTTTTACTTTCATTAAAATTCAAAAAGACTTAAGGCCCTCCAGGCTTTAATGTCAGACTGGGAAACTTTTAGGGATTTAGGTTTTGTTGTGTAATTCAAATGGTGTTGTTCTTATTCTTCATGTCAAACTATTGAATAGTACACTTTAATGAGTTCTCTTATGGAATTTTAATTTGGATGCCACTATCTTTTTAAAGATGCTTCCTCTGCAGTGATAACAGTAAATGTTTCAAGGTTTTTTCCCCCTTAAAAGAAGGACTTTAAGGAGACATCATGGTGCCTATTTTACATATTTTCTAATCTGAATTTGCTCGCTCTCCCTTAATTTGGCTGAAAACTAACATTTTCCCAAACATTGAGGGTCAGGCTTGGTTTCGCAGATGGCTTTACTTCATTTTCAAAATATACTGTGGGAAAAAAGACTGAAACTCCAGCTATATACATTGTAATTTCAAATATACTATAATTATAGCAGACATTTGTTATTAGCATTAAGCAGGAAAAAACATCCTTACTCAACATGGACCATGTCCTAACATCAATAATACTGTTAAGATCACAATTCCCATGAGCCCATTGCACACAACATCTGTTTTACTTTTCTTCCCTTGTACTTTTCCCTTGTGTTTATGGTGAAGAAATAAGAAATTCGTTGAGAATAATCCTGATTTTATGAATCAAGCCGGTCAGGTATGAGACGTAAAAGCGGGGCTAAGGTCTCTTTGACTGAAGACATTAACATGTCACAATGGGTATACTACAGGTGTCTGTCATTAAATCGATCAATCAATCAATCAATCAATCAATCAATTTTTATTTGTGTAGCGTCAACTCATAACAAGTGTTATCTTGAGACACTTTACAAAAAGCAGGTAAAATACCTTACTCTTTGTCTTTTAACATTACAAAAGAGCAGGTAAAAAGACCTTACTTATTGCTATATTACAAAGACCCGGCCTATCCATCATGAGCACTTTAGCAAAGCAGCAAAAGTTACATTGGTAAGAAAAAACTGCCTTATTAAAAGGCAGGAATC